TTTGGTCTTATGAGTTTTATGTCAATTCCATTTAGTTCACGTCTTTCACTTTATCCACTTCTGGTGTTTGACTAATGTTTCTTGACCGTTTATTGTCCTTTTCTGGCGATTTGAACCACCGGAAACATTGATAGAAGAATTATATATGGGCGAAACCACAATAGTTATGTACTAAAAGTGATCATAGTCAAAGACGTGAATAAATTATGAAATTGGTATGATACTCGTAGGACTAAACGTGATTTTATTCAAATTAGATGTTACTACAACTAAAAGTTGCATAGGAGGAGAAAACAACTCATTTCCCCCACTGCTATAACTTGTGTACCACTTAAATCGATCTCTAGAGCAATTCTCCATTAAACTTATTTCCCCATTACCGCCATATCAATGACACAGAAAATTAAATTTTATATAAAAAAGCTTCAAGAGGCAGATGTACACTTCTTTTTAAAATTCATTTTAACTTTGAAATCATATAATCATATGTCGGACTCTGTTTCTTCACTTTCAAAGTTTGAAAATAATGAAAGTGGTTAGAGGTCATATATGGAGGACAAACCTAACCATGTGCCTACAAGGCTTTTTGTATATGAGTTTTCTAATAAAATAGAAACAATGAGTTATATTGTGGTATATGACTAATTTCATATGATGGATAAAAATCTGACTTTTTATACGCTAATCACTATTTTTTTTACTATTGTGACTATGTAGTGAACATGATTACATATTTACATACAACGTACCAAATTAAGAGTCTGTTTTTTTACGAAAACAATGACCATATTCTTAACAAAGCTTTATTAACATTTTTTCTTTGATATTGTGCAATAATGTTTCGTACACGTACACCCATGTAGTGACACGTTCTGTATCTATGCACATAAATATCAGCATGAGCATAGCTAAAAACCCTCTATAAACTTCGATCTTTTCTAATGTATGTGAAAAATCGTGTAGAAAATTATCTAGAAATTTTCTTTTTATTGACCCTCCTAATTCATCCTCCCGCCTATTCACTAAATATTGGTGTAGCTAACGGGGCAATGTCATGCTCTCCTGCAGCCGGCAAATTATACCGTACGACCGGCATACCATGCGCATGGTATGCCTGGTCAAATACGGCATCGTTTTGGGATAAAAAGAGAGGAGATGATGAAAACGGCTAGCAACACTAGAGGGGGGGTGAATTGTGTGTGTGTGGAACCGTGACAGTTTTTCGCCCAGTTCTAGTGTGGGATAAGGGAAAATGCAATATAGTAAAGTGCACAAAGATTTAACGAGGAAAACTCCCTTGACTCAAAGGGATTAAAAAACCTCGACCTCCCTCGGAGTAATTTTAAACAACTTCACTAAAAGCCTTTTGAATGATTACAAGGGAAACTCTCCTAGTCTACCCTTGAGCCACCCCAACTCTTATCCTCTCTAGGAAGAGTTATGCATCTCTACCTTGCGGGTGGGGTAGAGAGCCTCTCAGCTTTACAACAAAGCTCTCACTCACACAAACCAACCCGAGGGGGCTACTCTTAGCCAATCCTCAAAACCCCATTACAATATGAAGAAGGGAAAGAAGAAACTCTATCTAGAACTCCGAGTGAGCAGTTTCGGGTGCCTTGAACTTAGTATTTCTCTCGAGTGTGTCTCTGAATATTTCTCTGGTCAAGCACCCCTTCTTCTCTTGATCTTCCGTCATATATATAGCCTCATGCAAGACGTCCGTTGGCTCCTCTTTCCTTAGTTGGTTGCTTGATAAATTAATGGACTTGCCTTGATATTATTTGAATTACTTTCCTTCCAGTAGCTCTCTCCTACTCGGTCTCAATTAAGAGTAAGTTTGCTCATGATTTACGAGTCATCATATAAGGAAGTAATATTGATTTACTTAACATGTAGGCAAGCAACGAACATAATGTAGCAATAAAATATTCAAGCAATCATTTGTAAGACAAACTACTATAATATCTTTACCAAAAATGCCTTCGGTCAACATTTGTAAAAGGCAAGATATTCACTTAGCATATGCAAAAAATGCTACGGTCAATTGATAATAAAGATAGAAGGAAACTCATTTAGCATGCAATTAACACGTAGGAATTCTTTCCATGAAAAAAAGCTAGATAGGACCAACTTTTAAAAAGGTAGGAGATTCTCTCCATAAAGCATGCAATCATGGTAAGTGGAGATTCTCTCCATAAAGCATTAGTCAATTTAAGCCAAGTCAATAAAGTGAATGTTTAATTGTGCATGGAAAGAAATTCAAATGACTTAAGCACCGTACTTCTAAGATGGTCATGCAATAAAAATATTCTTGCCTTATTATGAAACTCTTTACTAAGTAAGTGGCCTATTCAAATAATTCCAAGTGGTGATCACATAATAAAAAGTATTATCAATTATCACATACACACATATGAAGAAAGCATATTAATTGATAATCAAATAGACTCAATCATATTAATTCAAACCATTCTACGGAGCTAGAACTGGTTCTGTATTTGTTCCACCTGCAGGGTTAGTCATCAATAAAAGATATATGTCCGTTTTGGACATAGGATAGTTCTGGGTTCCGGTCCATGGCTTGTTCCAAAGCACGACATAACTTCCTTTCCTGCAATCACTTATAGCCAAAAGTAACACTAGTTTGTTTGTCATCAACAAAACAATATGTTCCAACAGGAGAGAACTTGCACCCCTCCCGTTTCACATCGCTCTACGCTTTGTTGGAATAGGTTCTCCGTGTGCAGCGTCAAAGAGAGCAAAGAAGGTGAGCATCTCCGATAAATTCCAATTGAGCAATTGACGGCCAAATAGCTATTTTCCATGGTTGGATCTGCCATCTTCCATAGCCATCTTTCATGGCCTGAATTTGAATGTCTTAATTAGCCCTAAGGTGATTCAACGAGACTGTTTGGTGCTCCAGCATCTCTCCAACTGCCGGGCTGCTTCACCAGAACGGAAATAGGTGTCCTTGAAATAGCCATGCTTCCTCCACCACGCACAACTCTGAATCGCCATAAATCCTTCAACTATGACCTTTTCCTAGCCTATTGAAACAGAGTATATTAATTAGTACATCAAGATTATTGCAATGAATTATTTTTAGCTTTCTCAACTTACATCTTGCACACACTAAAGTTACATACGGATTTGCCTAAAATTGCATATCTATTAACGTGAGTTACATGTCAACTTTTCTCAACAAGTTATATCCTATTCACACATGATTTACATTTTACATAATGCTAGTTACACCGCAATATAACGTGCGTTACACAACATAATAAGCCATTGTTATTCAAAGAATCAAAGAAAAATCATTTACAAAATCGTTTTTATAGCCCTGATATTAAAAACAAAACATGTGCACATTTACGTAAAATAATTGGACAATTAGACTCCTTTTTTCATTAAACATAAGTTACATTCTTGGGCACAAGTTACATTTGTTGTTAACTGAAGTTACATTTGTAACAACACGAGTTACATCTAATTATGCACAAGTTACATCATTCATGCTACTGGGATGAAAATAAAAAATAAAGTTACTGTACACGCGTGCACTGTTCACGCGAATTTTTTTAAAATCGCTATGCCAAACTACGTCGTTTTGGGTGTGGGAGCAGGATGCTCACCGTGGTGTGGTACCACGGTATACGGACTGCCTGCAGCCCCTAGTTTGATGAAAAAGTTTTACTTCATTTGTAGATATCTATTTTTTAAAAAGTTATATGAATGCATTCTTCTAAGAAAAAAATCTCTTAGAATTATTCATAAATAAGTGATAGACAAGAATGTGACTTAATTGTTTTTGGTAACTATAAGTGGTCTCAAAGTTTACAAAGTGGTAGTGACTGTATGTACTCAATATTATGTAAACTTTTTTCATAACTTATACTTACTAAAAATTACCAAATCACATTATTTTTCATAACTTTTTTACTAGTTATATTTTAGGAAAACTCTCTTCTTTTATTCGATTTACCCTAACGTAACATATCTTCCTGCCTATGCCACTGCACGTAATAAGAGTATAATTAAGACTACACGTTTGATAAAAAAAAATATCCCTTCAAATGCTGCCATCGTTTGATCAAAAGTTCTCACTTGCATTTTAGTGCAAACTATTTTCATTATGTTGATGCATGTTTAGTTATGTAATGTAATGATCGACTTTTACATTTTTTTTGCATCGTTCTATTTTTATGCAATTTTGTATGTCATGAACTCCCAAGTGCAAGTTCATCTTGATTGAACTTAGTAATATACTAGTACTATACGATGTCACGATGATGAGAAATGACCCATATATTGATATATATAGTTTGTGCGGATGTTTTATTCACGGGACCTCATTATAATATTCAATGTTCATAATAATTTTGTTGACTTGCATTGTATGGTGTCTTATTTTTTTTCACTACCAGTATTCTTTATTCAAATAATCAAATGTATGGGGTGTTTACTACGTACACTCCCATGCAATGCCGGGGTGAAGTTACTCTTATAGTCCATAATAAATCACTAATTTGAAATAATAAATAAGTTAAATAACCACAAATTTGGAATTAAACGTGCAAATAAAGTTAAATAACCACAATTTTGGAATTAAACGTGCAACTAGAGATCTCATGGCCAATTTTTGTTCCGAGGGAAAGGGAGAGTATAATATTTTTAATTTTTTTAGTTACAGAACAAGCACTTAATAAATTCTTTCCCCTAGATCTTAAATTAGACAAGATCGATCATGAATTATATTACGCAGTATATAAATTGTTCGATAACACACACTAGATTTTATCTATATATATGGCCAATTTTTGTTTATACATAATAACATTCGAAATAAAATTTTGTTTATCTTCGTATGTGTTTAATATTCAATCAAGAATCAAGATGATATACGAATACAATTAAATTGTGCAAATAAATAAATTGGTACATGAACTTATTACGAAGTATTTGAAAACATTTCTCTCAATTTTTTTTTTTTGATTTGCACTTGCTCGGCCATAGTGTAAAGTCGAAGACCGTTATAACAGTTGGAAGCATCAATGGGTTTGGGTTATGGTTACGTGCGCCTGCAACACCACGCTTATAGTGAATCCCATAACTCTGGACCATAAGTTTTGTTGTTCCGTCAAGTCTTCGCTGCCTTTTCTGTCAACCTTAAACCTCGCTTTTCCGGCTCAGATCATCAAGGTATAATAAACCTCAGCGATTTCCCCCAATTAAGCTTAAATTAACTTTCTCCGTTAATAAAGTAGCCCTTTCATTCTCCGTTAACTTCCCCTTTTCCGATTATATTCCGAAGGATTCGGAAAATTTATTTAAGCTTCTTCTTTTTTCTCGCAAAAAAAAAAAGCTTAAATTTTTTCTGAATCCTTCGGGATATAATCGGAAAAGGGGAAGTTAACGGAGAATGAAAGGGCTACTTTTGTATGCTCTGCAAAACTAATGATCGCATTGAAGTATCAGAATATCCGATCAAGTGCTTCATCTGAGCTTTACTTTTGTTTCATTAATTTCAATTTAGAGCTAATATTTTATGGGTTTACCCAATTTTTCGGTTTAGCTTATGCGTTTCAGTTTTCCATGTTTTTAGTTGTTAGAGTGGTGAATCTGATTAACTAATAGAGTAGGTTTTAATCAAATCTGTTTACAGCTTAATCAACTTATCACTAATTTATGTTCTGCTCATTCTGTATAGGCTGATTTGGATTTCATCTATAGTTGATCATAGTAATGGTTGGTCAAACTGCAATGCCTTCTGCTATTTCCCCTCAGTGGCAAGGCAAGGCCAGTGGGTTTTTCCAATCCTCAGGTAACACCGGTAACTCATCTTTGATTCTTTGGCTTATTAATTTGACCTTCATCTGCATAACCATTATCTTTTTTAACGTGATTAGCTAACTTTTTTCATGTAGGCGCTACACTTAAGGAAGTCGGGCACTCTACAGGAACGGTCTTGGGGGAGGTCGCAAAAGATGCAAAGGGAAATGTCAGTGAGGTTGCAGAGAAGGTTGGATCTATGGTCAAGAGCCGTTGGTCATTTCTACAGCAGCCGGCTACAAGACAAGCAATGCATAAACGTCTCACTTCTGCAGCTGCTACTACCAGCATGTTCTTGAGGAAGGGATTTTCAGAGACAAAGGATAAGGTTGTTGTTGGGAAGACAAAAGTCGAAGAGGTACTAACCAAGAACGAAATACTACGGTGAGAAAGAATGATCATATTTGCATAGACTGGTAAATCGGCTTTGATGAAGTAATAGGTCATGTCATCTTTAGGCAACCCAATTTTTATTTGTGGTCATCTGATGGCAATTTTTTTGTGTTACTAAGGCCATATTATTTTCTTACTGAACACTATTTTGTGCCTTGAAGTTGCTGAATTTGATCATTTTAGCATTGTTCCCATATATTCTATCAATAAAATGTATTCTAAGTTTTCTTTATAGTTTTTCTAAACATCATCAATAGCTGTCACTCCTTTACAATTTAAGCACTCTCAGCAACTTCATTAAAACATTTAAGCCAAATTCACTCTTACCAGATGTGCTATACTTTTATTGTATAAATATTTTATACTCCCTTTTACAACCCAAGCCAAATTCACCCTAACCAAAAGGGCCCAAATTTTATTACATAGGATATGAATACATTATACTTCGTCTTTGACTCTTTGTAACCCTAAAGCAATCATTATGAAATCTCCTTGGCTGACAACTCACTTTTACTGATGATCTACTATATGCGTCTGTTCATGTCACCTATATGCATGCACAAACACAGTTATTTAACAGTAGAATATGATACAAGTTGCAGGAAAATAGAATCTTCATCATGTAGCATAACCTGCATATTGCCTATATAAATAGTGTTGACTAAGGAGAGGAGAATATGTAATTATTTACTTCTAACAATGGATGACTTTCCACTGCATTAGTTTTTACATTGAGGATATGTAATTATTTACTTCTAACAATGGATGACGACCATAATGTTGTGGTTTAGGTGGCAAAGAAAACTGCACAAAAAAGTAAGACACTGCTGACTGACATTGAGCGCTGGCAGAAGGTATACACACTAATTACACTCTTATTCTTTTCCCTGATAATTTACTTTATGGATCGGATGGTTTCCAAATAATGATTCCTTCCCCCTTTTTTTCACTTGCAGGGCGTTGCCAGCACTGATGGTATGTTTTTCATCTAACCAGATGTTATGCTCCCTCTCTCCTGTTTTAGTTACCCCTTTTATGGGAGGAATTGTGTTCTTGGACTCTTGGTATTGCTTTTTTATATATTAATCTCAATAACACTATTCTATTTTATTTTATTGAATTATGCAAATCAAACTGGTAAATTAAATACGGAGATGGAGTAGTAAATTAACCTCTCTACAGGTTCTCTCAAGTTCAGACCAACAATCAAGAAATTTACTTTTTGGGGGAAAGAGAGATGATCATAGCCTTCTCCATGATTATTTTATTCAGGGAAATCAAACCATATCAAGGCTCTGTTTGTTGGATGAAAATATATCTTGGAAAATGTTTTCTGATTCCCTTGTGTTGAGCACATGACAACATTGTATGGTCATTGTTTATGCCTCATGCCCATGATTATAAAACGATGAATTAATTCATTATATTTTTGTTTTACTTGTCTTCCCAGTGTTTGGAGTCCCCATAGAAATAACTGTCCAACGACAACAATCCACCAAGCCTGTCCCATCTATATTGGTCAAGTGTGCAGATTATCTTGTCTTATCAGGTGATGATACAACTCACAAAAATTGCCTTTTCTGATCTTCTTGTTCATTGAAGATGAAATGATTTGATGACCATGACTTTCTTCATTTTGCTTAGGACTAAATTCTCGGGGGTTATTCAAGTCTGAAGGAGAGAGAAAAACCATCCAGAATTTGGTGTCATTATACAATAAAGGTATCTGACCATTTGAATTCATTTGGAATTCATTGAACTTCCACATGACCCTGCTAGGGCCCTGTTTATAACCCAGAAAATATTAGGGAATAATAGTAAGGGAAACAGTTGTAAATGGAAACAAGATCTTGAAGAAAACAAGATGCTTAAACTCAAAGGATTTATTTATCTTTTTCTATAAAACTAATAAGAAATCTGATTACATATAAAAAAAATTGAAGACAGTAATCATGTTTGTCTTCCTTCGCACATACTAGTACACAAGAGGATAACTTTTCTTGGCATGTTTTTCACTTTCCAGGTCATTAACTGTAATAGAAACATTTCTTGCTGTTTATTTATTTGTTCGGTTCTTGTTTATAGATCCAAGTGCAGCACTACCAGAGGGTGTTAATCCACTTGATGTAGCAGCTCTTATAAAGTGCTACCTTGCCAGCCTGCCTGAGCCATTGACGACCTTCCAGTTGTATGAAGAAATCAGAGTTTCCCGCTCTAGCATACCCAAAATGCGAAATATATTGAAGAAGCTTTCAACTGTCAACTACATGACACTGGAACTGATTACTGCATTGTTGCTCCGTGTTAGCCAGAAATCTCCAGTCAATGAGGTAGGAATGTTGTTCATCAGTTGATTTCCAGTTTTAGTTTGGTACATTTCATTTTGAAAATGTCAAGCTGAAAACCGAATAACTTAAGTCAGTTTTGGTTGGTTTTTGCAGTTTGTCAAATTTTTTAGACAAACAGACAACCAAAAACTGAATGCCTGTGGTTATCTCGGTTTTGGTTGGTTCAGTTTGGCACTTTTTTGTTCAGCCTGATTTATGTATGCGCTCATTTTATGGAGATTGAAATAATAATTCGCATAAAAAATATCATTTCCCCCACAATTGCTTTATCAAGGAAGTGCTCGAAAATTATAAATACAGTATATTTTAATGAAACATAATTCTTTTGCTCCTATTTTTTAACCTTCTGTAACCTGGGGCTTGTTTCCATATTTTGTTAATTTGGTCCATATCAGTTATTATAATTGAGATACAATTCGTCTCTTCTGTAATACTCACCCTTAAGTATGAAACACGAAGGCATATGAAGACATTCTCAGTATTCTAGTGCCGAGAATGCCCCTATGGCCTTATAAACCCTACTATCTGGCTATATAAATTAAGATTTTAGTAAAGAGGGCTAGTGGTATGTAAGTTATAACAAATGAGACTCACAATCTTTTAAAAGCAGGTCTTAAAGTGCATGATATCAAACATTTGGAGGATTCAGAGTCTGATTTCCCTTGTATAAAAGATGTCTCTCATTATTTTGTTGTGGCAGATGGATGCTCGAAGTCTTGCAATAGAAATGTCTCCCATCATTATGTGGAAACAAGGAAGAAGTCCAAAGTATTATAAACAGTTCTGGAGTGGCTTACCAAAGAATAGCTCAAAGACAAATTCTGATCCTAACTATAGCGCATGGGATATGCTTGCAGGTGAATGATAAATACTTAATAGCATTTATGTTTGTTAGGCTATGCTTGTTTCCAGGAAAATACGTTGTGAAATATAAGTAAATCTTTACAAAGAAATCAAAAGATGATATTCGTGTAAACAGACACAGCCTAATATTCCTCTTAGTTACTCTATGATGATTTTTTGGTTGTGCTAATACTTACAATGTTTGGAGAATTCAGATGAAGAAGAAAACATAGATGCTTCTTCTCCTATACCTTTGGATGATGGCTTGCCTGTTGACTTTGGTGCAATAGAAGTACTTCAGTGCCTGGTTGAACATCATAACGCGGTATTTACAGATGCACACGAAACGGTTTGGCGGTGACAAATCAATAGGTGGTTCAGCTCCTGCTTAGCTTATACGGAGTACATTGACCATTTCTGATCACTTTGTGCAGCAGTTTGAAATCTCAGTCAACCATCACCGGTGTTGTAAATTTTTGTTTCTATGCGATGGCGATAGGTTTGCGTTTGATTTATAAGGAAAAGACAGTATTGTTTTTAGATTTTCATTAAAGTTTTATGATGATTTAATATACATCGACTACACATGTAACAAATAGCAAATATCGGTGAGGTAATGCTTTTTAAAAGTTGGCACATCAGTAGCTGTAGCTGGATGCTTAAAAGTTTAAATGTGGTTGAATTCTTCTTTTACAAAATTAGCTAAAACTGATTTCATTTTGATTGAGAAATACTTTGAACATCTCATTTCTTAAACAAAATGAGTAATGTTAATACTGGACACTTTTGTTGTTACATACTGTTATTTTCATAATAAAGTCGTAGTTTTATAGCTTAATTATATACATCAAATCTTAAATGAGAGTGTATTCGATGATTATATGGGTACTGAAATGACTTGAAAATGTCACCTTCCTCCATGCTTTCTTTCAATTGGTATTAACATTTATTAAATTCTTCTCCGAAAATTTTACCCGTTCCTTTCTACAATAATCTCAGTAAACTGAACTACTTTTTTTTTTTTGTAAACTGAACTATTTTGATCTATTATAAATTTAGCAGACTCAAATGTTGACATTGAATGAGGACCATATGCTAGTGGCTAGTGTCGTTCCTGTTTTTCCAAACTTTTATATCCGTTGTATGCATATTTGGATAAATAGATTTTCAAATTTTCAAGACATCTTATATCAAAGTGAGTCATTAATTAAACATTCTTTTTACACATTTCCGGTCTGATAAGGATTTCGATCTAATCATACTTCAAATGTTCCATGAATTATATTGGACTATTTTGGAGATTTAGGTTGCAGCTTAATGCCTGAGTACCTTGACTTAGGCTAAATGAGATCAAATAACATTCAAAAATGAGATCAAATCTATACAAACTAGTTCAAACCAAACATGGTTAAGAAGACATGTTCAAGCTAGGCGATCAATAACTTTCAATCTTGATGAAACTAATGAAACATTTTCTCAGAGTTAGATCATACTTGTAGAAACCATCTGTAATCTATAAAATCTAGTTCAGTCCACACATTAGTACAGAGTTAATCATACTTGTAGTAACCATTTGTAATCTATACAATCAAGTTCAGTCCACACATTAGTAGTGCTGGACTCGGGCCAGGCGGCCCGCCCCGGAACCGGCCCGAACCGGGAACCGGTCCGAGGGGCGGTTCGGGTCGACCCGGCCCGGTAGACATGCGGTCCGGGATTGGGCCCTTCAAATGGTGAACCAGCCCGGCCGGTTCGGGGCCGGTCCGGGCCAATTTATTAATTTTTTTATTTTTTTCTGAATTTTTTTTAAATTTTTGAGTTGGGCTGGGTATTTTGGGCCATTTGAGGTGGTTTGGGGGTGAGGGGGGAGGGTTGGGGGTTAATTAGGAAAAGCTAAAAAAAATATATAAATTGAACCAAGGCCCGGCCCGACCCGGGGTTACCCGGGCCGGTTCTGGGCCTCCCTTTTCATGAACCGAGGCCCGGCCAGGCCCAGGCCCGAACCGGGCTTGAACCGGCCTAAGTCCAGCCATACACATTAGTACAAATGTGTGGGGAAAGGTTGTACAAAAAATGATGAAATTGTTTTATGTACAAAACTGATTGACTTTATTTTTCTAACCAAAAAATTATTGAGGAATTTTCATTCGAATCCTGATAATAAAAACTCACACTTAAATATGTCAAATTCTCCCATAATATACACAAATTATGCGCATTAGTCCTATGTGATATAAAAATACCTCAAACCGTCATGCATTATAACTAAGTCACACACATAACACCACGAATCAGTAGATAAAATTTTTTGAATCAAACTCACATATTTTAGTATTACGATTAAATAAGAAAGAAAATTTGTCAGAGTTTCTAAATTATACAAAAATATTCAATATTTATTTTTTTGGATTGCAAAATTTGTTAGTGTTATGAAATAGAAGGAAATGAATAGAAGATTAGAGAGAGTTTATATTAATATACTCTTAAGAGAGTTGTTTTGGAAGTATAATCTCATTCATAGGAGAAAATGTAATCTCCTCTAGATTAGGAGCTAATTGTGAGTCATACAATTATCATCTTAAGATCATATATGGTTTCGTATTTATATTGATAATGATGTTAATGTATTAGATGTTAATAGTTTATAAGATAAGTATTAGAATTTTCTTTTCGGGGTTTTTACAAGAATATTACTAAAATAAAACTTATTTACATAAATATCACTATTCATTACTACAACGTAGTGCTGTAGTAACTAAAGTTCAAAACTTGAACATGAATTACTATGATTTCATTACTATTCTAGTAATGAATCATATTTTTGTAAACCATCTTTATCTCAGTCATATTTATGAAATTATTTCTTTTCTTAAAGGCTAACAACTATTTTGATGTTGTTTTGTTAAGCGAAGCAAATAGTTATGCACATGCTCTAGCTTGATCATCTACTACCTATGATTCTCATTATATTCCTTTTTGTATTTTGAATAATATTACTACTGAGATGAATCAACTTTTGATGGTAAAAAACCGTTGGTTCGTTTTCTTATTGTTAGGTGCTTACCTATTAAGGGTTAGTTTGCAACTGCTTTTAAAAAAAGCACATCTCAGCTTTTGTTTTTTTTTATTCCAGGGGGTCTGGGGGAGGGGGGCTGGGGGGAGCCTGGAGTAATTAGGGCTGAAACCCACTGTATTGAGTTTCACACCCTTGTGTGCCTAGCGGGATTCGAACTTGAGACCTCCCACTAGGCACGATAACCTCACAACCAGCTTTTTGCTTTAAAAAAACACTTATTTTCCCAAACACTACAACTTTTATTTTTCTCGGCTTCCGCGTCAAAAGTGCTTTTACTTTTTCTATTACACAAAAAACACTTATTTTACCAAACACTACCCACTTTTACTTTTCAAAATCACTTTTTTCTTAAACACTATCAACTTTTATTTAATCACTTCTCCCCATTTCATTAAAAAAACACTTTTTTAAAAGCAGAAACTATTACAACTTGCAAACAGACCCTAATAAAAGAAGGGATCTGGATCAAAAGATGAGGTGGCTAAATTGCCTTTTTAAAGGAGTGTTTGCAGTTGATTAAAAAAAGCACTTTTCAGCTTTTGACTTAAAAAAAGTTAAAAAGAGTGTTTTCAAATGACAGCTTCTGCTTAAATTAATCACTTAAAAGCTAAAAGCTGGAAGCAGGTGGAAGGGTGCTTTAAACTGCTTTTCACTTTTTCTATTACACAAAAAGTACTTATTTTACCAAACACTACCAACTTTTACTTTTTCAGAATCACTTTTTTCTCAAACACTACCAACTTTTACTATTAATCACTTTTCCCCAAATCACTTTAAAAAATCACTTTTTTAAAGTTGAAGCAATTGCAAACACTCCCTAAATTGGGGTTGACCTTAGTACGATATGTTATTTTCCTGCGAGCCCGGTGAATAACTGAATCTTGTCTGCTCAGGCCATCTCCAACAGTTTACACCATTTTTTGCACTAAAATGGTGTAAACATCACATCATACAGTACTTTATCTCCAACAGTTTACACCATTTTTATCACTAAAAAGGATTATTCTTTTTTATTCTTTTTACTAACTTTTTTACCATTATTATTATGTTGTTTCGATTTGAAACTTTATTTATAAAATTGTGTGATTTAAATTTTATTACATATTTCTTTGTTTTTTTATCAAATTTATCATTTAAATGTGTTCTAAAAAAGGGTCAAAATTATAGTAATCAAAACTAGGGGTCACTTTTGAAAAGAAGAAGAAGAAGATGGCGCATGACCATCCTACGCCATATATGGCGTAAACCAATCCCCCCTCCCCTATTTTAGTGGAATGGTGAAGAATTTGGTGTAGTTGTTGGAGCAAAATAATATGAAATCCCCTATTTTGGTGGAAGATATAGTGATTGTTGGAGATGGTCTCAGATAAAAATCTAATAACCGATTTTTTTATGCAAAACCAAAATTCTAAGTTATGGAGGGGTACGGTGATTCATTACCTGGGGGGGCTTCTCACCCAATTGCTGATATTGACTCTGAAAGCTCAATATTGAGCTCAAATCTCTTCTTGGATGGCGTTGGAGAGGTTGTTGTCACCCTTAATTCTGATGGCTTGTCTTGGAGATCAGCTGAATCTATGTCTAATGTAAGCTTATACATTGAATATTCCCAATTATTTCCTTTTTCCATTGAAATTTAATGTTTAGAAGTTCCAAAATGGATGAAGATTTGTTCTTATTATTTTATAATTTTTGGTTTTTGCAATGAGTGAGTTGGTGTTAATCTTTATGAAACACCTGGGGTGTCTTTAATAGAAAAAGATTCAGCTTTAAAGAGTTGCACATGGTAGTTTGAACAAAAAGCACCCTATATGTAGAGTGCAAAACAAATTATTTTTCTGTGCCAATTAAACAACAAAAGCTGATACTTTGAAACATAAGTAAGAAAAAGAGAAGAAGATTTGGTATCCAAAAGTGGCTGATCCTGCTTATCAGCAGAATAACCATAATAAGATGCTCTTGACCTACTTATTTAACTGAAATGGATTTTACCCAAAGCATTCTTTTTTATAATAATGTTGGTTTAAGAAAAGGGAACTTGTATGTGATCAGTTTGTGTGCAAGCATAACTATTTATCCAAAAAACTGATGAGGAGGATTTGAGAATAGAATATTCACATGGAAATTTTGGTAGTTAGTAAATAATGCTTTTGGTTTCAATCCATGTATGGTAGGAGGATCCATCTCTATGTTTAGGCTTAAAACTGTTCCGCAAATGTGGAACCGGAGTGAAATTTTGTGATGTATATGCTGCTGAATCCGTTGGTTGGGGATTGGTACGCAAATCGTCTCTTCAAAATGCTGCTCGGTTATTCTCTGGCCATTCATTTGAGGTTCTCTTTCTCATTCTCTTAGGCCTTGTGTGGTTCAAAGGAGGGGAGGGAAGGGGAGAGTCAAGGAGGGAAGGGAAGGGAAGGGGAAGGAAGGATTTTGATAAAAATATGTGTTTGGTTGGAGGAAATAGTAGGAAAGGTTTAATATTTTCTCAATTTACCTTTACTTGATAGCTTACTTACAAAAATAGATCCATCGGTAACTATGGTGAACATTTCTCTTATGGTCATGAGTCATAATATTTTTTTTTTGATTTTTTACTTTTTAAATTTTATAATTTTTTATTTTTTTAACTTTTATTTTTTTGTTTGAATTTTTCAAAAGTTTTTATTTTTTACCTTTTTATATTATA